CTAAAAATCAGCAAGCCTTTCCATGCATTAGGTTTTTTGCCTGTGTCTCTCTTCTGACTCGTGCATGGTTGGTATATTTTATTCCCAAACACAGTTAATTTATATGCCACTCAAGTGAGCTGGCTGGAGTTAATGATTTATTTCTACAAAGCTACACTTGTAAGATTCTAGGAACCTTTTTTTGAAAAATGTAGGATTGGAGTTTCTTTGTCGAGCTCACTTGGTGGGAAATGTATTGTTAGTGTATTAATTTCACACATGAGTTGTCAGTCTTTTTTTTTTTTTTTTTTTTTTTTTTTTTTGCTTTGTGATTAAGCCTCTGTTTCAGTCATTGTGCACACAAGTTACTTGGGGTGTCCTTTAAAACCCCCAATGCTAGAAAAGAAATCAGGGCTGACATGGGGTATTATTGCTGTTACTTTCGGCAGGTAGGTTTTATTAAAATGATGTTAGGTGGTAGGTGACTGATGTCGACTTGTACAATAGACATAGCCTCCTGCGGAACACGAAGCCATCAAGAAGGATGTGGGGTGGGCAGACAGAGCAGAAAAATGGCAGGCTGTGGAAATACATAGGCTGTGTCGTTGGGTATGGGTGTCCTGATCCTCGGTACTTTTGTCCAGGCACCATCCAGGAGGATTACCTGAGGGAGCTGCTCACAACCATGGGCGATCGGTTCACAGACGAGGAAGTGGATGAGCTGTACAGGGAGGCCCCCATCGACAAAAAGGGGAACTTCAACTACATCGAGTTCACGCGCATCCTCAAGCACGGAGCCAAAGACAAAGACGACTGAAGCACTGCAGATTCCAGCCAATGTTCCCTGTCGCCACCTGGGGTATTGCTGAGAGTTTTCTCCTGGAACCCGTTGCCTGCCCTATCTTAGTGCTTTTTGCCTTTCCTGTTTTGTATTTATATACTCTCAGCCTCTTTGGGCCACATGTACCTTTATAATCAGACTGGAAATGGGGCCTTCTGCCATTACCTGACTGGAAAGTAAGGTAATTTAACTACAGTCTTGTCCCTCCTGTGTAATAACTGCAGCCCACACAGAGTCAATATATTTTTTCAGAGAAAGTTATCCACCTAATTTTTTCTGAATGACAATTAAACTTTCTGATAAAATCCTTAGTCGTTTAAACTTATTTCCCACTTGACTTTTAGTTTCATTTGTGTCTTTCAAAGCCTGGGGTAGATGAGTCAACGACATTCCCATCCGAGCTTGCTCCTTCCAGCATTCCTTGTGTTCCTAAAGCAGTCCTGGTCTTCTCTCCTCCTGTTTATTCCTTCCCTCTCAAGGAAGTCAGAACTTAACTGACCTATTTGGGTTTCAGTTTTGAAAATAATTCCTGCAGAGTCTCATCACTTGAGTGGCAGAAAACACTAGTTTGACTCTCTGCTCTGTTTCTCCCCACTTTAAGCTTCTGTACTTCCTGACACCTACAATAAGATCATTTGTTCTATTCAGAGACTATTTCAGCTCTGAAGGTTCTATGGAATGCTTTTAACAAAAAGTTTTTCTGTGTTGTATTTCCGGCTGTTGGAAATACGCATAGTATTTGTTGCTGTTGCATACAGGTTTTCCTTATTATAGCAACCCCTATTGAAAGACCATGTTTGTTTATGCAGAGGTCCATCAGGATCCATGTGTGAGTTTTAGACATTCCTGACCTACCCACAGTCAGAGCAGCTGTGCTGCATGCCTGGGAAAGTGAGGTCATTGTTTCGATCCTAAAAATAACTTCCTGTTATTTGTGATAATTCAGAACTGCTGCCCAGTTGATCCGGGAGAACACTTGTCCTGTTTAGTTTTCTCATGTTTCAAAAATTCCCAAGTTTAAAAAGGTTTGAAGCATGGGGGTTGGTGGGTTTGCTTCAACAAGACCGCCCTTGAAGGAAACCATTACCTCATTTGATAAACAATTACGCAATGCCTTTGAACAGCAGGTTAGAGAACTGGTCTAGGAGAATGGGGGTGGGGAGTGGGAGACTAGTAACAACTATTCCTTCAAGATTAGAATCACAGAAATCTGCCCTAATTTCCTGCTTGGATTTCATTGTGTTTTTTGTTTGTTTTGTTTTTTAAAAAGATTTATTTATTTATTACAAATACAACACCCTGCCTCCATGTACATCAGAAGAGGGCACCAGATCTCATTACAGATGGTTGTAAACCACCATGTGGTTGCTGGGAATTGAACTCATGACCTCTGGAAGAGCAGTCAGTGCTTTTAACCTCTGAGCCATCTCTCCAGCCCCCCCTTTTTTTTTTTTAAGCAGAATACCTCTTTCAGTTTATCCAGTCAGTGCTAGTCTTGTTGAATTTCCATTTCTACTGAAAACAATACAAATCCCGAAACCAACCATCTCTGCATAAAATATCTTCAACGAGGAATAAGTTATTTCCACTACAAGAAAAAGCACTCTAAAATTATCTCATGCAATGTCCATTTCCATCCGGGCAGCCCCTTAAGTAGCTGTCAGGAGCAGTAGGTCAACCTGAATGAAACCAAAGGGTTTGCTAGGAGGATTCTCTGCAGAGGCTGGGCTTTGCTTAAGCAAGACTAGCCGCCAATGAAAAGCTGCGAGAATCTCCCCTAGCAACGAACCTGACTGCAGAATCGATCTCTAAAGTTCCCATGAGAATGATCTCAAAATCATCCAGCTCAGAAGCCCGGTGAAGGCCCCCCCCATGGGGCAGCATCCCGACCCGCCACCTGCTCATGGTGATGTCGACAGCCGTTGGGACCCAGTGCCCAAACTGATCCGGGAACCTGAGACTTAAGGGCAGGAAGGGAATGTGACTGGGACAGAGGGAGGAAGGCTAGAGTAAAAGACAAGTTCTGAGACAGGTTCTGAGAAGGGAGCCACTTTCCACAAAATGCTAAGAGAATAAGGAAGGACAAGAAGTTTGAGCGTCAAGCAGACAGGGACTCAGCTATATATACCTCATTTGATATATACAAAGCCAGTTTTAGGAGGAAGAGGGGTAGTTACTAAGTCACAGACACGTGTGGGAAGCTTGAAGGAGCCCACTAGATGTGGCATCCATCAGTCATTAGGTGGTTCTGGATGTAGAAATCCTTACAGTGAACAGTGGTGAAGTCAGGGCTCTGGCAGACCCGCATTTTCAAGTCCCCGTTTTGCCCACACCAGGGCTTTGTGGCGTTAGGCAAGCTACTTAACCTTTGTTGGCCCAATTATTCACTTATAAAATGAATCAGCGCTGTTCATAATGACATTTTTATGATTAAAAGCAACATGTATCTGGAGCTGGGTGTGGTTGCATAAAAGCCCACCACCCACCCACCCGTTACCTAAGTAGATTTGTGGTCAGGCTGTTCTTAAATGGAAGCTTCCTCATCTGAAATAGGAATGCTTCCTTCTAAATTTGCTACAAAAATTAGAAACATGAAAGGAAAAAAAAAACATGTGAATGCAACAGATACTCAAATTGTAGCTATTCATGTGGGTGTCTGAAAAAAAGTTCTGAAGAGAAGACAAGGCTCAGAGGGTCTATTCTTGAAGATGTAGTCTTGTTCATAGAGGGCGGGAAGTCTGGCCTTCGTGCGAGTGCTGGGAATTCAACCTTGGGTCCTCTTGCCTGCATGGCAAGTACTCTTAAGCCTCACTCCGCTTCTCAGCCACTGGGCTGCCAGGGTTAAAGGCATGTGCCGCCGCCACCTGCCCATTAGCTGATCTTCCGTTGTGTAGAGGGCGGGCTCAGGGAGTGGCAGTGGACTGGAAGAGTGCTGTGACAAACTTTCAAGATTGTATAAGAAACACGATTATTTAAACAATGACTTAAGGACCGACGGTGTCGAAGGGCATCACCTGGTGCCTATTAAAAATGGGAATTATTTTCCATCTCTGACCTACTCAATACCAGCACCAGATTTTCAAGCGCGGATTTAAAGCCACCCTCAGTTTATCTCTGGGGGGGGGGTGTCTTTTATTTTACATTCTATCTGTGTGTTTTGTTTGCAGAGGGAGGGAGGGAGTTACTCATTCCTGGGATGGAGCTCAAAGGACAACTTGCAGAAGTTGGTTCTCTGTGGGTCCTGAGAATCTAAAGCGGGTAGTAGTGAGGCTTGGTGGCAGGCACCTTCACCGGCTGAACCATCTCGCTGGCCCCTAGCTTGTTTCTGTTTTGTGTTCTAAGTACGACTCGGTGCTGGACTCACCTGGTGTTCCTAACCCTCAAAGAATTTTTGATCAGACTTCTAGAATATGAACTCCACAGGGAAGACCTTTTTAATTGTCTCCCCAGCGCCTGGCACACGTTTAGGCAAAAACAACGACAACAAAAGGTGCCTAGTATGAGGGAGGTTAAAAAAAAAAAAAAAACTACCCTCAAGAATACAACCATGCACAGTCTCTAGAACAACCGTCTTCAAAAATAACAACCTTTTCCTGTGACCGAGAGCGGAATGAACCAGACACCGGCTGAGCCCTGATAATTCGCGAGTAGGAACTGGGGAGAAAAAGTGAAGGACGTTGGCTGGAGTGCGTTCTCAAACCAGCGAAGGCGTTTCTGGAGCTCCCGGTGGGGAACGTTCGGCCGCCGCCCTCTTCCGTGTTACTTCCCTCCTCCAGAAAACCGTCCATCTAAAACTCAGTTCAACCAGGCCAACTAACTGCCCTTGGCTAAACCAAGCAACCTCGGAGGGGGCCGCTCCCGGCGCCAGGGGAGCCCCCCAAAGCCGGGGCGGATCGCCGGCCCACCCGGATCAAATTCCAGCGCCGGCGCTCCGCCCTCGGCCCAGGAATGCGGAAGGGCCGCGGGACCTGCACGGGAAACCGGGGAGTGGGGGGGAGAGACCGGCGGGCAGGGGCGGCTGCGGCAGGGGCACGCCGTGCAGGTGAGTTGGGGAATCCGCACTCGCGGCCACCCAGGCTCGGCTGATGGAACCGCACAGCCAGATTCGTTACCGCCGGTGCCCGCCGGACCCCGGGCCCGGGGCCCCTTCGCCGCAGCACCCCCCCCCGCCCTGCCGCGTTTGGTCGCGCCCAGCTCGCGGGGGCTCCTTCCGCCCCGCCCCGGGCCGGAAGTGCGGCGCCGCCACCGTCCCTCCGCAGCCCTCCGCAGGTCGCAGCAGCCGGTCGGGTTGGGTCGGGTCGTCTCGTGCGCGCATCCTCGGATCTGGTGAGTGGCTCGCGGCGACCCCCAGGCCGCGTCTGTCCCTCCTGCTGCGCGAGCGCGCCTGGAGCCCCCACCCCGGGCGGCAGGACCGTCCTGGGCTGGCGAACCCTGCCCGAGCCCCCCCCCCCCATCCCGGATCTTGGGCACAGCACAGACCCTGCGTCGCCTGGATGACTGACACCTGGGACCCGGCTTGCCTGCACCTGCCGCGGCTGCAAGGCTTCAGGTCCTAGCGCTGTGTCTGCGCCGAGTGCGCGCATCCGCATCCGCTCGAGACGCTTGGGGTGCGGGGGGGGGGGTGGAGAAGCCCGCTGGGGCGAGCGGTTCCTGCCTAAGGAAGCCAGGAACCGGTAGTGGGGTTTCGCGGGCGAGCAAAGGTTGAAAAAAAAAAAAAAAATGGAACCGGTTTCCTTAAGTTCTCACTGTGCGCCTTGCGTCTTGCAGCCGAGATTTTTAGCTCGTGGTAAGGAAAGGACGGTGCAAAGCAAGCTGGGAAGCGTTGAGAACTTGACCGAGCAAGGGCTCCAAGAGGAAGAACTGGGTGCTTTGGGCTGGGTATCTGGTAGGAGGTAACAAAAGCGAAAGCTCAAAGGGTAGACTTCATATCACATGTACGGGAAGCACGGGAGACCAGCAGGAATGGTAATAATAGCTGGGAACGACCCTGTAAAGTAAAATAAGGTAGTTAGCTGGGTAAGGCCTTTTTGTAGGTCTACTGAAAACCTGAAGAGGAATGAAAAATTATGTAAGAGGCTTCAGGGAGGAGTCGCTTGGATTCCTCTCTATAAGGAAATAACACAATCAGAGGGTGTTGATCAGGTTGACAGCTTTAGTTACAGGTTTCTTTGCTGTGTTGGAGAAAAACTACAGCGTTTTCTAATTCAGTGTCTCCTGAAACTTTTAGTTTACGATCATGGGAAGTGGTGAGGTGATTTACCTGGGATCGCTTGAATTCCGTACGATGCCACCAGTTTTCTCTGTGGATCCTCTCACTCAGCGCACACGCGCACGCATGCGCACGCTTGCACCTGTGCACAGCTTTTTGTTTGTTTCCGCTGTGTTAAATAGTTTGATGACTGCCTCCATGTTTCTTTAATACCTCAGTGAGACTGAGTTTACTGAGCTGCAGCCTCTAAAGGACGGATCTCCAGGTGATGGTGTCTAAGCTTAGGGAAGCCAAGAATGGGGCCAGTGCCCCCCATCCTCCCAAGGTTGAAAGATGCTGGCTGTCCAAGGATGAGTTTATTATATATCCCCGTTGCCAGCATCTTTAGACTCTGGCTAGTTCCACCTGGCAGGCAAAGCAAATTCCCTTCTACCATCTGAAGGTTGATCACTGAGTTCACGGTGACTGGCAGTAGCCAGATAACAGGAGTTAGGGTATTCAAAACTTAATACGTGCAAGGGAGTGAGAAAGACCGGAAAACGTAAGTCTTAGCAGCAATCTTGCCTCAAGTGGGAGTAGATGTGGTTGGCATTTTTAGAGGAAGTAAACTGTCTTGAAAAACATATCCTGGACAGTTCCTCTGGGCTCTGAGTGTGTTGTGAACTCGAGACTTGTTTGCAGACATTGGGAGGTAGCCCTAGCTACTCCATTCTTTGTGGAGGGACTTCCCATGCTCAGGAGCTCCTCAGACTATGGGATCAAAAGGGTCTGCATGGAGGAGAAGCCAGGCCAGAGAGACCTAAAAGTGCTTGATTCAACTCAGCATGGCAAACACCAAACTTGACATTACCTTTGTCTAAGCCCCAAGGTACATGTTAGCCTTGCTGGTCAGCTCACCTGAAGTTTTCAAGGTTGGAAACGTTGTAGCTGCTGACAGGAAGGACACCTCCTGGGGCTGGATGCCCTGGGTATACATTCTGCCGCTTTCTGGCTTTTATCTGGGAAATATCCATAATGACAGCCTGCATTGTAAGCTGTTGTGCGGGTTAAATATTAATGCATGTGACACCTGTAGTTTGTCCTTTGCTAATATTCCTTCCAAGTACCGGGCAAGGGGTAACTAGCTGGTGGCGTTTGTGAAAGATCTCTTGAAAAGGAGACTGGCTAAGTGTACGCCGACCCTAGAAAAAAAAGCCTTATTTCAGGAGTGCTCAGATCCAGCTCTTGCCTAACCATGAACATTTGTGTGTACAATTTGTTTTTGATGGGAAGGAATTAATTATATGCATGTTCTTGAGTACCTAGTATTTATTTGGCACCTGCCGTGTGCAAGGCCGTCTTCTAGACTTTATAATCCAAGCAGAAAGGCAAAAGGCTGTAAAAAGCCTTTGTAAATAAATTAAAAACATTTGTTGTGGCACATGCCTTTAATTCTAGCGCTGGGGGAGGGAGGGGAGAGGCAGGTGGGGATCTCTGTGAGTTCGAGGTCATCCTAGTCTACAGAGCGAGTTCCAGGACAGCTAGGGCTGCTACACAGGGAAACCCTGTCTTGAAAAACCAATAATGATGATGATTAAGAAATATTTGTAAGTCGTAATTTGCAGTGTGATTCTACTAATTAGAAAAGAATAAAAGACTGAGTGCATAGCACTTGCTTAATACATTTAAAACATTTTTTAAAAGAGGAGGAGGACCACTCATAAACTCAACACAATGGGTCAGTCTCAAAAATATTACATTGAAGGAATCCAGACGGGCTGGAGAGGTGGCTCAGCAGTTAAGAACACTGGCTGCTCTTCCAGAGGACCTAGGTTCAATTCCCAGCACCCACGTGACAGCTTATAACTGTCTGTAATTCCAATTTTAGGGGATCTGGCACCCTCACACAGACAAACATGCAGGTAAAACACCAATGCACTTAAAACTAAAACTAAAAAAGAAAGGAAGAAGCCAGGCCTGCACAAGTATACACTTGTCATTTGATTTAAAAGAAACCCAAGACAAGAGAAGGTCAGGGTATCCATGACCTCTTATAAACCGCTAATCCTAGCACCCGGAAGCTGAGGCAGGTGGATCCTGCGCTTCAGTCAGCCTGGGTGATGAAGTAAGGCTTGGTGTCATTAAAAAAAAAAAAAGAAATCCAAACAAAATTGGCTGGGGGTGTGTGGGTACACAGTTGACTTCTGGGGAACTTTCTGGAATGATGTTTAACATTTGTAAGTGGGTTATTACATGGGCGTACACGGTTAACAAAAGTGATTAGGTAGAGTTGTGTATTTTAGAAATGATGGCGATATCCTCTGATGGCCACTGGTGTATGTGTCCAGTGTGAAAGTACACGGAATGGGGCAGGTTTGCCTGGTATTAAGAAAAGTCATAAAAACTGTTTGGCGCTTTAAAGGAAAGATGATTACGGAACTTTTAAAAACCTACATATGGCCGGGCGTTGGTGGCACACGCCTTTAATCCCAGCACTCGGGAGGCAGAGGCAGGAGGATCTCTATGAGTTCGAGGCCAGCCTGGTCTACAAGAGTGAGTTCCAGGACAGCCTCCAAAACAATAAAGAAACCCTGTCTCACAAAAAAGCAAACAAAAAAAAATTTTAAAGCAAAAAACCTACATGTGTAGCATAAAAACAATCGCATGTCATTAGGTGTCCGAGGTTAATTTTGTGGAGCATTTTAAATTGATTATACACCGAATTCTCTCTCTGGCTGCTGCTTTCAAACTGCTGCTCTCGTTCCCAGTCGTGTGAACCTCACAATTAGAGCAAACACTAGCTGACCATGAGGATCCATGCGGAGTCTCTAGGCTCTGGCAGACCTTGGAAAAGACGAAACTGAATCTAAAAAGACAGTTTTAAGCCCTGGAGCCGCTCTGTGCTTTTCGGCTCCTCCTGTGGATCTGCTTACAAATCTGCTATAGGAGGACCCCCCCTCCCTCGGTGCACAACCCCCACCTCGGGCGTCTGTCCTGGGTATCCCCGCTGCCATTCTGGTGTAGTTGGGCCGTAGCTAGCACTCTTAACTTTGTAGAGATGTGTGCTTAGTTATGTGTCAGGGGTGGGGCGTGTGCATGTGAACCAGGCAGGCCCGAAGCGGCGTCGGCTCCTCTGGAGCCGGTGCCACAGGTGGGCGTGGTTCTAGCTCCGGCGTGGATGCTGAGCAGCAGCAGCAGCCTTGGTCGTCTGCAGGAGCAGCGAGTACTCTCAACGACCGGCCGTCTCCCCAGCCTCTAAATCTTAATGTTTATGGCTCCTTTGCCCACAAAACCAGTTCCATCCTTTCCTCCCTAATTGACTCATTCTGAGTGATGACTTTTATCTTATTTTTGAGTCTTAGGGTTTGTTTGTGTTGTTTGGTTCAGTCTTTGAGACAAAACTTCATTCTGTTGTAGCTCAGGCTAGCCTCCAACCCCTGGCAGTCCTCTTTGCCCCAGCCTGTCAGAGTGCTGGGACGACCGACAGGAAGTGCCACACCCAGCTTGAGTGGTGTGATGCAGGAAGTTTCTCAGCCAGTATTTAAGCACATTTAAGGCTAGAACTTTGAAGAAAGCTGCAATTAGAAAGCAAGAAAAACCTGCAAGGCAGTAGAGGAATAGGAAACAGGATAGTGGTGGCCGAGGGGAGAAGACTTGCGTTTAAGAGAACCTGCCGAGCTGGGGTGGAAATTCTATCGTGGTTACATTTTCATAACCAGAAATTGAAAATTCCCTAGTCCCCAGGCTGGTCCATTTGAGCTTTCTAGAATCCTGTGGCTCTAATCTCGAAACAAAGAAACAAACAAACAAACAAAAAAACATTTCCTTGTCTCACTATTAAAGAAATGGAGTACCAGTGGTGTTGCTGCTTTTCCATTGATATCCAACAAGTTGTTCTTAACTTTGTTTTGAGCACCTGTAAGGTAATACCTGGGTTTTCTTTTTTCTTTTCCTTTTCTTTTTTTTTTTTTTTTTTTTTGAGTTTGGATCTTTGTAGCCCTGGCTGCTCTGAACCCAACTATGTAGGTAGACCAGGCTGACCTTGAATTTAAAGATGTCTGCCTCCAGAGTACTTGGATCAGACAGGTGTGCCTCCACACCTGGCTAATAAATTCCAGCCTTGAAAAGCCAAGGCTCTCCAAGCAGTTGTAGTCTTGTGTGGTTGTCCTTATCTGAAGGAGGATTGTCCCCAATGTGACTGACTCACAGGGCTGGCTGCCGTAAGAGGCCTCAGGTCCCTGCTTCCTGGTGCTGCTTCCTGGTGCTGGCATCTGTCTGCGGATTGGTGAACAGAGCAGGCAGGGCCCCGATGCAGTGTCTGTTGTGACAGTCAACCATAATACACTTGTTGACACGGGCTGCTCTTTTCACATTTGGGTAGCTGGACAATGGCAGCTGCCGGTGGTCCACCTTGGAGCCTAACTACCCTACGGCAAGACGGGGAAGAAAGTTCAGTGCCATCAGGAACCGTGCTGGTGGTGTGAAGGGAGCGGCAGGGCATAGGGAGGGGAGTGGGCTAGTCTATTTGTTCATTATGCAGTTGTTCAAGATGTCTGAAATTGAGGGTTTTTTTTTTAAGTAAATGTCACATTACAAAATACCAGCAAGCTAATTTTTGAAGAGACGTTTTAAAGATGGTTTCACGATTGTGAGTGTTTTGCCCGCATGTGTGTCTGTTCTCCATGGGCATGCCTGGTACCTGTGGAGGTCAGGAGAGGCTGTTGGATCCCCCGGGACTAGAGTCACAGACAGTTGTGAGCCTCCATGTGAGTGCTGGGAATCCAACCCAGTTCTCTGCAAGAGCAGCAAGCGCTCCTAACCAGTGAGCCAACTTGCCAGCTCCCACCTGGTGCATTTTAAAAACTAAGTTCTTGGCCTCCATCCCCAACATTCTGTTAGGCTATTCTAAGAAGACCCAGGTATCGCTGTTTTACAAACTTCAGAGATGGCTGATGCATGACCAGCTGCTGGGAGAGTGGTGTTTATTGGCCGTGTGCTGATAACAAATATTTGGGAAAGCATTAAAGGGATATTGGAAGCCATAGACACCTGCAGCTTGTGCTCTGAGCATCTTTCCAAACCTGCGGAAGCCTTACAGGCAGACTGAAACTCAGAGATTTCTGCTCCTTAATGATACATGTGTTCCTTTGCTTTGACTTGGGTATCAGACATTTACATCACTTGTAAAGCCAGCTT